ACTGTTTATAGGAAAGCTGGTCCCCTTTCAGACACGTCAAGTCTTGCTTTCAAGTCTGCTCGTTCGTAGGCGAAGGAGGTGAGAAGAGAGGGGAAAAGAACAGATACCTCCTTACCGTCAATTCGTTTCAAGTTTTCTTGTCTCTTTTGATCTTTTCCTTCCAATTTAAAGAACAAAGGACTTGAATTCAATTAAAGTTGACGCGTGTGGAAGCAAATAGAAAACATAAAAGAGAATGCGAAAAAAATTGCTTTCAAGACTTGACGTGTCTGAAAGGGGAGCTGGGAGATATATTATACCCAAGCGGTATCACAGGGGACCATGAGTCTAAGTGTGACCAACTTTTTCCTAGTCGTTCTAGCAAAAAAGAGCATAGTGATTAGGTATTCCAAGTACTTAAACAATAAGGATAGAATAGGGTTAGTTTAGAGTGTGCAATTCACTCAGATCATTTCATAAAAAAAGTATAGGTGGCAGCCAAGCGCGTGTATAACCTTTTACCGGAAATTACAAAAAAACTTTAGAAGAGCAAATAACTTTCATATTATTGGACATAATTATCCAATCATAGATCAGCTTATTTTTATGATCATTATAATTTGATTGGGTGTTAACAAGTTTTGTTTGCTCATTTTACAGTGGTTTCAGTGTAAACAATAACCGCTTTGGCGCATGCGTACGCACGTCAGCAACGAATATAAATAGTTCCATATCTTAACAGTTGCCATTTCCATTTCTCATATAACTAAATTAAACGTATTTGAAAATAAATACTTTTATGGTATTTAGTTACATACGTTTTCATTTATATCATTGATGTATCAGCAAAAACAACGACCAGTGAACGAACGTAGAAGGTGAATACAAAACAAAACAAAAACATTAGAATGGCAGATTGTTTTATTGAAATATTTAGCTTTTTAGAATGAGGTAAGCTCCAGTTCATGATGCAATCAAATTAATTTTTTTTTATCTCATTTTATTTTATTGTTATTTTTGTATATTCTTGATGCTTAAATTGGGCTACGTACATACATATAAAGTGGTATAAACCAAACAAGTAACAAACACAGGCAGACAGATAAATATGAGAAAAAAATATAACAGTTTGCACCAACAAAATTTAGTCAATAAAAAAATTTAATTGAATATCACACAAAAGCGTAAAATTAAGACAACGATGAAAAGACATACTAGCACACTTATTTATGACTGTAAATATGTACATAAGTAACATGAAATAATCAAAAGTTGTGTATGAGTGGATATAAAAATAGCCAAACAGCTGAGCCGAGGAGAACTTGTTTTCGTATTACACATTTTAGTTGGTGCGCTCATGAAGTGTTCTTGAGATGATTTCATTTTTTTTTTTTCTAATTTATCTGTTTTTGTTTTGACACCGCCTAGTAATGTCCAATGTCTGTATGTAGCAATGGAAAATTAGCTTGTTATGTGTTGGTTTAAATTAAACTATATGACATAATTTTCTGTGTTGGAACACAAATGAATGTAAATCTAGTTGAGATCATTAATTTACATCTTGTGTTTGTGTTTGTTATTACAAAAATACATCTAACCTCATGGAAACATGTACAAAATCGTACAATCCGTTCACTAGCAAAATTCCGGTAAAATTTGTTTCTTCACAGCATATTTCCTACCTTAATTATAAATATTACATATGGATGTATATATCGTCGATGTCTTTGCAAAACTCACATTTTACAGGAGAGTGATTAAAATATATTTTTCTTAAGCCCGTTGACTTGGTAGGCGGTATTTCATCATATATCTGTCATTTTACAAACTTGTTGTTGGAATAACGATTTTACGACTTTTATGCATGAAGCTCGGTGCACGGAGTTCAGGATTACCAAATTTAATTTTTGCCATTATGGTGGTTTTGCAACCGGGCGTTTGGCGGATTTGAAAATTAGAAAATTTCTTCTAAGTGTAGTTTCCCGCCCTTGGAAGAATCGATTTTAGATTTTATTAATTTTCGGGCGACAAGTCTTTATATAATCCTTATTTTTTAAATGTAAGTATGTATTTTACTTCGAAATAGTTTTTATTTAAAAGCAAAAAATCACCGATTTTATTCTTCATTTCGCGAAAGAGGGAGCGAAAAATTTAAAAGCGTGCGTCAAACAGACATAGGTTATAACTACGGTGACCATTCGTACCGATTTTGGCGGGATAGTATTTGGACCTTGTTCGGCTTTTTCCTTGTTTTAGATTTTTACAGAACAAAACGGAACGTATGTACGTACACTCCTTTAGATCATGTGCCGCATCCAAGCCTTATTTTTCCTACAGTTATAGTCCTCCCAGTACGCTTCTCTTTTCTGCCCAGAATGATCCCCATTTATCTGACTTCTTTTGAGAGAGTCATTTTACAAAACTGCAAAACTATGCTTTTGAGCAACAAAATAACTTCCCCGAGCCGTTTGATCCCAAGCGAGACTTCAAACAGAGCGACTGCCTAGCGTGTGATTTCTTTAATAATAAGAGAGCTATAACTACCGTTATACGACTCCGTCTTATCTATGAATTTGTTAGAGTTTATTGTTTGCTCTTTCATCGTTTCTTATGTCCAGAGCAGGGACCGAACATATTTGTTATTGATGCAAACTATCATTGAAAAATTCACTATGAAGGAAATGTTCTACAACTAAGTGATACATACCAATAGATTTCTTTTCTCACCGAGACCCAAATTCAGATATACATTTTTATTTAAAAATAAATTTTTATATTCATTTTTATGCAAAATTAACAAAATAACAATTATTTTTGATATCTATATTATAAATCGAATATAAAAATTATTTTTTTATTTTTTAAATCATTCGTATAAAAGTTATTTACATTTTTCGCAGTTTTACTTATAAAAATGGCTTTTATATAGTATGATTTAAAAAATAAAGGTCAGTGACTGATTTTTATTTATGACTTTTATAAATAAAAGTCTTCGATAACAGTTATCTAAGACATATAATTTAAAAATCATAAATAGCTGTTATTCGCAGATTATTTAGATAAAAATAAAAAATAAGTGTTATTTTGGATTTATAAAATAAAAGTAAAAAATAACGGCTATTTAACGAGTCATTAAATAAAAGCCAAAAAATAATTGTTAAAGAGCGATGTTTTTGTAAGTTTTTAAAAGTTGTAACTGTTACGGTCCCTAGTCCAGAGAATACTGTGTGTAATATTTTTTACGTTTAACATCGCAAACGAATTGCATAAAATCTGCAATCCACTCTTATAAAGAATTATTTACATACATATGTTTGTATTTTATGTAGTAAGATATGCCAGTGTAATTAACTTGGAATCATTTATTTACAATATAAAAATATGGTTTTTATGGATGAATCGTAAAAATAACAATTATTTTCTTCAAGTGTAACGAATGCAGTGATATTTATTACCGCTGTTTATTCACTATGCTTAGATGCAACTACTGAAGCGAACGAAAGCGTTGACGAGTGAAATTTTCGAATGCAAATTTAACGCAAAATGCAAATCTGTGATGCATTTTTACAAGTCATTTCCTTTTTTTCTTTGACTTTATGGCTAAGCGCATACAACTGCCGCCAGCAATGGAAGACAAAATGTCCGTGAATGTTGCTGAGCGCATACTCGTAAATATCAATGAGGCAAGTGGGCGAAAAAGTATATTTGTCTTTAGGTTTGAGCAACTTGTTTGTACACATGTATGGCATTCAGACAAGCCACTAGTGACTAGTCACATCTATGTATGTACGTCGAATCATAGGCGGCGAACTATAGTAGCAAGTGAGAAAAATGACGCGCCAGCCAATTGACAAATGCATACATTTTTGCATAAATACGCTTTTCAGTGTCGTTTGCCAATTTAGATAACCTAAGCTAAACGGTTATTTATACGAAAACTCTGGTTATCAGCTGATATGTATATGAGTGCTTAAACACTCCTCGTCATTTGAATAGTAGTATTTAAAGTTTTTCTTTTGTTTATTTAATATTCCTCGATTTAACAAAATATGTATGTATATAGCATCTTCTACGTGTAAATCCGTTTTTAAAATGTTTTACATATTAAAAAAAAAAAATCAACAAAGGGGTGCGCTATCCTAATGACCTGCGGTGAATAAGTAAATAAATAATATTTTTAGAAAAATTTTGGATATGCAGAGTTGTAGCCCATTCAATTTTAGTGTAATAAAGTGAAAGTTTTAAGTGGCTGTAAAATAGCGTTGATTTTTGATTTTTTGTTTTTTGTTGCGCATTTTCTTCCATAGCATTTTTTGTATGGAAGAAGATGCGCAGCTTCGTAAAAAATTGTCAAAAATCAACGTTATTTTAAAGCCACTTGAAACTTGCACTTTATTGTATGTACTAAAATTGTATGGGCTATAACTTTGCATATCCGAAATTTTTCTAAAAATATTATTGACTTATTCAACTCAGATCATTAAGATAACACACCCCTTTGTTGATATATATATATATTTTTTAATTTGTATAAAATTTTTAAAACGAATTTGCGCATAGAATATGCTATATTTTTATAAAAAATAAATTAGCATTAAATAAACAAAATGAAAACTGTAAATACTACGAATTAAAAGGGCGCGCTATTCACATGACGAGCAGTGTACTATATCTGGGGTGGTCAGTTGTTTAGGCGGCGGCGTCGGACAGTCTCGGTTTAGTAATTAGCATGGCAATAAAATTCGTCGGCATACATTTGTTGGCACACAACATAGACAGTGTGACTTAAAATTATGCATAATGTACCTACAAGTAGTCGACCACAGCCGAAGTTTATTTGTTTGTTTACCAGCTTTAGTAGCGCTATTTAAGACATGTTAATGATCCATCAAGGCGCGTGCACGAATTTTTATGGGCTACTTTGCTATAATCTTATAAATAATACTTATAACTATTATTTGTAAGTAGATGTGTTTGTATTTCATTACTCACGTAATTTATTTATCTCTTTTTTTTTTTAGCAAGAAAGAGCTCTTTGCCTGAATTTACTTACAAAATAGTAATTAAAGCATAAAATTGGAGGCAAATAAACAGATATGCCAGCAAAATTTGAATACTCACTGGGCGTACATGAGCTGAAGTCGAAGGAGCATCGCCTTTGGCAGGCGCTTGTGGCGGAATTTCTGGGTACGTGCCATTTCTTTTATTTATTTAATTTCTAATCAAGAAGTGTTTTAATTACACATTAATGATGTAATAAAAATTAAAAATTATTCATATTTTTAGGAAACTTCCTATTGAATTTCTTCGCATGCGGCGCATGTACCCAACCCGAAGATGGCACATTTAAGGCGTTGGCTTTTGGCTTGGCTGTTTTCATAGCAATCACAGTAAGCATTTCAATAGTGACGACAATTACCTAGCTATTTATAAACATATGTACATATGTATGCAATAATGCATTAGGCTGTACCACCATACAAGCAAGCAAAAACTAGCTCGCCATACACCGCTGAGTACTTAAAAAAAAAATAATAATAACAAGTTATGGTTCCGATATTTCAGGCCTATTAAAGAGCTCGGGCCCGGGGGATTCACCCGTTCCCCCTCCCTCTCGACGGGTCTGAAGGAATAAAAAAATTGTCTCTTCGGGGCAAGAACGTGTACAGTGGCGAAAATATAGATAGGTAAAAGGCATTTTAGCATTATTGGGATATTTGTGTTTCGTTTATTAATTGTTTAGTATTTTTTATGAGTGTGTAGTTCGTTATCTAACAAAAAAATATAAGTCGAAATTTCAAACTTTCTACAAAAATTTGGAAAATCCGACAAAGTTTCATCAACAGTTTGAGTTTTGTAATTAAATGTCTTAGAAACATTCAGTATGCAATTTTGTAGTCCAATGAATGTAAGTATTTTTTTTTTTTGCAAACATCTGATTAAAAAGTTCCAAATTTTGTTGAACTTAATTAACATTATTCGAATTTTATAAATGTTCTTCGAAGTTTAAAATATTGATTAACATGGTTTTTATGTGTGTATATATATATATTAAGTTATTTTTTCATAAAAAATAATTAATATTTTTTTAAACAAAGAAAATATCCAAAACTTGCTAAAATGTATCTTCCCTATTTACATTTCCGTCACCGTACATAAATCAAAGATAACACGAAATTTTGAAATGGCAACCCTTACGTTCGGCAAAAAAAAATACAAATTGCCTCGCAAAAATACTTAAGACTCAGGATTGTAGGGCGAACTTTTGTTTCGATACGGTCTAATGTACATACTACATATGTATATACAAATGTATGCACTTTTGATAGTTATTAAGGAGCGTGTGGTCATAAAGACACATGTTGATTTTATTACTTCGACTTGATTGGCATAAGTACTTATTTTTTATTTGATTCGTATCGCCTTTTTAAAAAAAAAAAGCAGATGCCATATACATGTTGGCTTGTCGTTTTTTTTTTTAATTTTTTCGATGCCTATCACTCGCATATCCTTAAATGGTTTGCAAGCTATGCCCAAAACTAACCGTATGCATTCCGATTCGAATTTAGTTATATAGTATATACATTTTCTAACGAATATAAGCACAGACAAGTATGTTTTGTTGAATGCTTGTTTTCCTTGTTCCACATTATGTACATAATTATCTATGTATATGCATATATACATACACAAGTACATATATATAGTAGAAATATATTTAAGAACACTTTTAGTAGCATAAAGAATCGAATGCTGCTGCTATTCACTGGATATTGATACGACTTTGGGTTTACAAACATACACACATGTACATTAGAGTGGTAAAAAAAAAATTTTCGAAGATAGGGTTTGGGGCGCCTTCCAAAATTTTTCTTTTTGCCGAAAAAGGTGCTGGCACCAAACCTTACGTTTCTAAGTATAAATTTAGAGGATGCTAACAATTATCAAAAGGAAAGAACTAAGGGGTGCCCCGTTTTCTAGTATGCACTTTTTCTGACTTTTATCGGAATTGAATAGTGCCCTTGCCACCGTGGCTGATTGCTTAGATGTGCCTCCTTTAAACTAAAAAAAAAGCTGATCTGTTCGATATTCGAAAAATTAAGATTTAAAATAAACCACCTAGTTATATCCACAAAAAAAAACCGGAGGTAGCCGGTGTGGAAAACCCGATTCAATCACCGTAATCCAAAACCTATCCCTATCAAAAATATTTACGCGACAAGAAAATCAAATTAGTATTATTTTTAATTATTGCTAAATATAAATATCTCAACATGCTTCATTTCAATTGATTCAAACAAGTCATGAAAACATGACTCAAAATTATATCAAAATCCAGGGATGCGGTATCACACAATAACTTGCTGAAACCAAATGTTGCCGATGTAACAGGCTTCAATTTCAGGCAATAAAAAGTTCGTTATCATGGTGCGGTAGCGCTCGTTATTTACGGTTATTTCTTTATATGGCCAACATTTGAATGCAATTATTTTAAAAAAGTAAATTTTAGAGATTTTTCTTTCGGATTATAATAAAGATTCCGACATCCAGTTCTATTTCAAGTGTTTAATTTAAAATTAGAAAAAAGGTCTAGATGGATCACCCGATATTAGATTTTAAATCAGAAACATACATATTGGTGCATAGGGCGGCAATAGTGAATAACGATGAAGTACAAGTTCACCCACAAAATTAGCGTAGGTATATTTATATTACACGAGTGCACGTACAAGCATACATACAGTAGCGGTCATATCAATAACACCCCCATTTTAAAGTGATATTGCTTGCCACTTATTTATTTATTTCAATTAAAATAGACTTTATTCTCTAACAAAACCCATATAAACCCAAGTTCAAAACTTTGTAAAAGACTACAAAAAATGCAACAAATTTCCACCCAAATTTAAAATTTTTTTTCAATAGTATTAGTCAGTTTTATATCCCATTCAATTTTAGTTTGATAATGTGCAAGTTGCAAGTGGCAAAAATTACCGTTGATTTGTTTGATTTTTTTTTTGCCGAAGGTGTTGCGGGTTTGTTCCTTATAAAAATAAATTGTTTTTATTCGTCAACGGTAATTTTTAGCCAAGTTTTAAACTTGGGTTTATATGTGTTTTGTTAAAGAACTCGTATTTTAATAGAAAATTTCTGAAAATAAACAAATAAACATGAGTAGCAAACAATATGACCTTGAAATGGGGGTGCTATTGATATGACCGATACTGTATGCACATAAACAGTGAATGCATTTTGTCTGCTCAAAAATGAAAACGTGTCCAGATGTAAATATTGTAATAATTAACTTATGTACTTATGTATGTACCAGCACTAAATAACACTAAAATACCATAAACGATACTGCCGTAAATAGTCTACAACAACAAAATATTTAAACATTTTCAAACACTTTAGGTTATTGGCAATATTAGCGGCGGTCACGTAAATCCAGCCGTCACTATTGGTTTATTGGTAGCGGGGCGTGTGACCGTTTTGCGTGCTGTATTCTATATAATATTCCAATGTTTGGGTTCTATTGCCGGCACCGCAGCCGTTCGTGTGAGTATACTGTTTCTTTAATTGACCTATATAAATACTTAATGCAATATTTTGACATTTCAGACACTCATCGATGAGGTTTACTATAATGGCTTAGGTCACACACATCTCGCGCCGAATATTACCGAACTACAGGGTCTCGGTATTGAGTTCTTCTTGGGGCTGGTGTTGGTGCTCACCGTTTTTGGTGCTTGTGATGCTAGTAAACCAGGTGGGAATTAAGAATTTATTTAACTGATTTTAGAATTCGGTGTTTTGCATCGAAAATGTAAGTTTTCGATATTGGTTCATGAAATGGTCGGTGGTTGGTTGGTATTAAATATGTGCCGAAAAAGACAAAAAATACAACGATTGTGCTGGCTTAAGAATGTTGTACGCATGGCTGATGAAGCGCCGGTGAAAATGTCCTTCGCCTCGGCAGTCATGGGTGGATGACGAAAGCGAAGGCCCTATGAATAAAAGGGGAGGACCACGTGCAGAAGGATCTATCTGCACTCGTAATGAACAATTGGCGCGAATTCGCAAAGGAGAAAGGAGATTAGCGAAGTTACGCGGAAATTTTTGGACCAAAGTTAAGAAAATACAGATTTTTATAGCGGATTTCGACAGAATATACCTTCGTTACCAACATTTGTCATAGAAAAGCTTCTGTGACAATATTGAGGAACATTTGGAAGCCAACCGGTTGCGGAAGGTCTTATCAAAGAGTTCCTTTTTTCCCAGTTAGATTCAGAGGCCAAACGGAATTAGAGAAATTGTCTCGAAGTCGTTACACATACATACATACATAAATGCTTATAAAAAATTAAAATCCAAGCGAAGCAATTTCACTTTATTTCTTTGTGGGAATAAATGCATCCACATATTTCATCTATGCATGTACATATGTATATACATTAGGGTGGTGCTTCAATATAGGAAGATAATTTTTACATCAGATTTCCTAAGCCTCAACCCATACGTCGATGCTACTATAGTCGAAGATATCACATAAAAATATTGGTCCCGATTGGAATCAGTTAAAGCGTGTCGCACAGAGTTCAAAGTTCAGATAACCCTATGAAAACGTCTTAACCTCCCCGATATCGGGACCAAAATTTATATGTGATGTCTTCGACTTTAGTAGTTTCGATTTCGGGTATTAAATGAAAGAAATATGTATTTCTAATTTTTTGAGTCTCCATAGAGGCATCTGGCCTTTGACCCCTTTGCGGCACGCCTTAACCGACTCCAAACGGGACCAAAATTTATATGTGCTATCTTTAACTATGGTAGTATCGATTTTGGGAATTAGATGAAAAAAAAATTCATTTTAATTTTTTGAGTCTCTATAGAGACCGTCTCCAACCGGGACCAAAATTCATATGTGATATCTGTGGCAGTGGCGTTACTGATTGAGGGGGTGAGACTGAAATCAATCGTTCATTTGATTTTTTAAGGACCACCCTAATATACATATTTATTTTCTAATTCTATTTCTCTCTATTACTCCTTTTAGACTCACGCTACACTGCCCCACTCGCTATCGGACTCTCTGTCACACTGGGCCACTTGGGTACAATTCGTTACACTGGCGCCAGCATGAATCCGGCACGTACACTTGGCACAGCGTTTGCCGTCGACAATTGGGATGCACATTGGGTATACTGGGCAGGTCCCATACTTGGTGGCATAGCAGCGGCGCTTATCTACACCCAAGTGCTGGAAAAGCCCCTAGTCATGACCAGCGTTAAAGTGATTGAAGTGTCCGACAAATATCGGACACACGCTGATGAGCGTGAGGTGAGCTTTGTTAAAGGCTGGAAAGACTCAGATTTCTACTAAACAGAAATAAACTATAAAAATACAAAAAAAAAACAAAAACAAAAAAATACACGAAAAGCAAACGAATTCCGAGTGTTTGATTGTGCGGATCGGAGGCAAGTTGTGTTGAGCAAAATATATATGTGCTTTTGCAATTCATATTATACAATAGTTATAGAAACGATCCGCGCAATCGAATGCTGAAATTCTGAAATTACACTTCATTTATTATCTATGCAAGCTCACGCGCTGATGCACTTGCACTCACATATAAAAAAAACTAAACTTTGTACCTATTTATTTACATAAATACATATTTACATGCATACCTACTCATACAACATGCTCTCATACAATTACAACAAAAAATAAAATTTATTGCCAACAAGAAACATTGCATCACTATACATACATACATACATACATTTGTACATAGCCTATAACCTGCTTATCTCATTTGCTTACTTCTCTAATCTTATTTATTTATATCATAGATTTTTGTCTATTAAAACGTGTCTCACCTTTCTTAAAATATACAGATGAGAAAACTGGATAGTGCACGCGATTACGCTTAAATGCAAATAAATGCAAACAAATACACATACTGCATACATACAAACATATATGAAATAAAAAATGATAATAATAATTTTAAGAAAAGTAAAATCGCAATAAAAACAGAACTGGCGCCTTGAACTGCGTACCCAGTACCCAGTACTCGTATTTTCTGTGTGTGTTCAAATGAAAAATAAGAAGAAAAGCCGAATAATAAGCAATAAGCCATGAAACCCCGAACTGCACTTGTTGCAACGCATCGTGTCGGCACGTGTTGCATGCAACACATGCATACGTACATACGCATAGCCGTTGGATGTGGTGTGTTGATATTGCATAAGCGACGCATAGCTCTCAACGCCAGCAACGTCAATGAGCAACAACAAAAAGCGGAATTGCTGCAACTGCAGTCGCACAGCCGACAAAAGCTCAACCACAGCAACAAGAACCAGTCACCAACAAACAATAAATACTAAACGTATTTATGTACACATCTACACTGCATACCAAATGTATTTGTATCTATCATTATAAACTTTTTGTATTGTCTTCTACTACTTAACTGTACTCAAACATTCATTATAGTATTTATGTAAACGAAAAAAAAATAAGTTGTACTAATTTTATTTAATAATTTATAAACTGATTTTTTTTTGTTTGTAATTTTAGTTTATGCGTCTATTCTTATGCATATTTACATACATACATAAACATGATGTCTAACATTTCGAGTAAATATTTTATTGTTGTCAAAACTCAGTATTTTACTATGTGAGTCGTGTTCTTGTTTTCGTAGCTAAAGAAAATTTTAACATTTTCATGGACAAATAATAGCAAAATATAATAGCTACCTACAGCCTTTTAACTATAAATACCTTCGAACTAGCAATTTTTTGTTAATCTCAAATCGCGCTTACATCGATATAGAATCACCTAATACGAATAATATAAAATTTAATAGTCATAAATGAAACAATAAAACCACGATTATATACTAAATACTTAATTAAGTCGAACAAATGTATGTAATTAAAGTAAGTCGAAGTGAAAATTTATTTCAAATAAAGATTATTTTAATTTTTTTTTAATGGATATTGACCCGTTCATCTACTAGGTAGGGGATGAAAATTGAGAAGACTCAGTTGAGTACCAAGTATCCCAAGTTCGATTAAAATGGACAAGGAAAATGACGAAACCGTTTGCATATGACTTCTCATAAATTGTAATCGTCTCCAAACTTGGGTCAGGTAAACTTACTTCAAAGAATATTGAAAAAAACCCTCAACTTTTGTGTTTGGATTGTTCAACCAGAGAAGGTTTATAAATGTTCAACCTTCACAGGCGATTAGTGAAATCAAAATCTTAAAGAAAGTTGGCTGTTGACCAACTTTATTGAAAGCGATTTTTAGCCGTAATATTGTTCATTATGCTTTAAAAACAATTTGTGTGAAAGATGACAAATTTTGGTCAATGTCTTAAGCTCGCCCAAGTCAAAGTTCAAGTGCTAAAAAAATTTTTCTTAGCTTACTTCGATTCTCCTCAAAAAA